AATACTGATACAACCCTCTACCAAATTACAATCATAGTTTTAGGAAAGGAGCTTACCTTAACTTTGAAGTAAATCTGCACTCTATGGATTGGCAAAAATGAGCTTAAATAAATTACCCAATAGCAACATCCTGGTTTGTGCTGGTCGGTGGAAAATTCCAAAATTGTTAGGATTCTGGAAGCGGCAAGCAGAACCAAGCAGCATCCAGACGTTTTGCTGTTTAAAATGCTTTTTTTAAAAAAGTGTTCTGGGTAGAAAAATAAAGTCCTCATAGCAAGGAAAACAAAAATAAGAAAACGTTAGGTAACAAAAACGGCGGCGAAAAGAATAAAAACCAAAATGTGTTTCTAAGCAAGAGGGAATGACGACACTCCTAGGAGGCATTTGTGCAGGGTATGAGGCTATGCTGGTAGATAAAAGAGCCGGGATGAAGTTTGATAGAGTTTTACTTTAACTGCCCGGAACCAGAGCTGGGACTAGGGCCGCGTGGTTTTGCGCGAGGTCAGTCTTCCATTAGCCTTCTTCAGCATCAGGGGAACGGGCCTTGCACGTACCCTTCTCGCCTGGGCAAAGTTCAGAAGGCCTAGGGTAAAAATGGCACGTAATTAAAATAAAAACACAGTTTGTGGGGTTCCTGGCATTCTTCGGAAAAGTCCTTCTCCCCCACCCGCTTTTCCATAGCCCCTCCCTTGTCCTCTGCAGCCGCTGCGCTGGGATCTTGCTCCTTCCAGCTGCCTCCTTCCAGCGGCTGCTAGTTCAAGCCAAGTGGGAGTGAGGCGTGCTTTTTATAGCAGTCGGGTGCAAAGAGGAAGGGGGATAAAAAGGAAATCGAGAAAGAAAGGGAAAAAGCGGATTAGGCGGCTGGGACCCGCGGAGATGTGTAATGTGAAACATCACCGGTGTCAGCTCAGAAATCTCGAGCCAGGCCTCACTCCAATACACAAAAGACTCCGTCTGGGGCGACTGGTGGGCGCGATGTGGATTGCAGCGAGGTTGTGGCGGGGCCACCGGACGCGGGTGGGGGCTGACTGGCCTGGTCGGCCGCCTGCAAAACCAAAGGGTAGCGTCGGGTCAGGCCTGGGGTGGTCAAGGCACGCCTGAGGGGCCTGAAATGGGCGGAGTGTGAGACGAAGCAGAACCAAGGAAGGGAATCGAGAGACCGTCCCGTTCTGGGTTGTTGGAGTTTAAGGAGCAGATTGAAAAGGTGGTCCTCTGCTTTATATTTGGTTGTTTTTCTAGGCGAGGAAGAGTGTCGCATTCCGGTTGTTGTTGAAAGGGCTCCTTCCAGGGGATGGGGACCACAGTGGAGATCCAAGAGGGGAGGGAGGAACTGTGCGGGTGAAAGAGCGGGTACTCCGGTGCCCTCCCACCCTCTTGTCCTCGTCACTGGGTCTGAGGCTTTGGAGTAGAAGCAGATTTACCAGGTGGTCTGGGAAGGGGTGGGCAGTCGGCTGACCCTCCTTTATTTCACAGTAAGAGTTTCTGGCCCCTGAGGAGGGTCTGGGTTCGTGATCAAGCGGCCCACAGCCCGCTAGACATGGCGGCCCAGCTCAGAACCCATGCTCACAGGCGGGAGCTGGCTGGACCTCCCGGCTCTGATTGCGGCTTGGGGCTGGAAACAGTGCGGGCCTTGGCGGTGTGGGGTGCCTGGCTGCAGGGGTGCGTCGCGCACGCGCGTCTGGTGGAGGGTTGGCCTCTGGTGTTCTCTGTGATCTAGCTTTTATTAATCCCCACTGTGGCCTCTGTTTGCTCCCTTACCCTACCGCGCCCAGGTTTGGTTCAAGAATCGCCGAGCCAAATGGAGAAAGCGGGAGCGCAACCAGCAGGCCGAGCTGTGCAAGAATGGCTTCGGGCCGCAGTTCAACGGGCTTATGCAGCCCTACGACGACATGTACCCGGGCTATTCCTACAATAACTGGGCGGCCAAGGGCCTCACGTCAGCCTCCTTGTCCACTAAGAGCTTCCCCTTCTTCAACTCAATGAACGTCAATCCCCTGTCGTCACAGAGCATGTTTTCCCCGCCCAACTCCATCTCATCCATGAGTATGTCGTCCAGCATGGTGCCCTCCGCGGTGACGGGCGTTCCGGGCTCCAGCCTCAATAGCCTGAATAACTTGAACAACCTGAGCAGCCCGTCGCTGAATTCCGCGGTGCCGACACCCGCTTGTCCTTATGCGCCACCGACTCCTCCGTATGTTTATAGGGACACGTGTAACTCGAGCTTGGCCAGCCTGAGACTGAAAGCAAAGCAGCACTCCAGCTTCGGCTACGCCAGCGTGCAGAACCCTGCGTCCAACCTGAGTGCTTGCCAGTACGCAGTGGACCGGCCCGTGTGAGCCGCGCCCACTGCGCTGGGATTCTAGGACTGTGCGGGATCGGGCAACTCCGCCCTTGAAAGACTGGGAATTATGCTAGAAGGTCGTGGGCACTAAAGAAAGGAAGAGAAAAGGCAGATATAAGGAGAAAAGGAAACCACTGAATTAAAGAGAGAGCGCCTTTGTTTTCAAAGGAAAGTCCTCAGTGTCTGACATCTTTCACTAGAAGTATTTCCAACAGTTGCAAGGACACATACACAA